GTTAAAAGCACGTCAGCAGTTTCTTGATGATTATTTTTTAATGCGTAAATTAAAGCCGTCACACCATCAGTGTCTTGTTTGTTAACATCCCCGCTGTTTCCAAAAAGCAGCCGAACAACTTCTGTGTGGCCCTTTTCAGAGCCATACATTAAGGCAGTCCTACCTACTGTATCAGCATGATTAACGTCAGCTCCAGCATTAACAAGGTTTCCACAAATCTCAATATGTCCTCTTTGTGATGCAAACATTAACGCTGTAAAACCACTGTTGTCAATATCATTAACATTAGCGTTTAATTTTATAAGAGCATCCACGGTTTCGGTGTGTCCGTTGAAGGATGCCAACATTAAAGCAGTTTGACCGTTGAAGTTTTTGTTCACCTGAAAATCTTTGATTAGATTTTTTTTTGAATTTGTATTTTCTTTGTTATTTTTAAGTTTAGTAAGTATAGCCATATTTATAAGTTGAACTGTTCTCGTGTGACCACTTTGAGCGGCAAACATTAAAGCCGTCATGCCTTCAGCATTTGTAGTATCATTTACATCAGTTCCTTTTGCTATTAGTAATTCAACTGTATTTGTGTGACCTTCGAGTGATGCAAACATTAATGCCGTCATACCATCAAGATTTTTATCATTTACAGCAGCTCCTTTTTCTATCAGCAATTGAACAGTCTTTGTGTGACCTTTGATGGCTGCAAACATTAATGCATTTGTTCCAATTATGTTTACACCTTTTATGTTTTGGTTTTTTTCAATAAGAATTTCAGCTACATCAGTCAATCCATTTTGTGCAGCATACATTAAAGGTGTCTTGCCTTCCATTGCAATATCATTTGTATTATCTCCGAGTTGTATTAATTTTTTCGCTGTAAGAGAATGTTCATTTTTTAGAGCATATAATAATGGGGTAAAACCATTTTTATCCTTTTCATCCATATTTGCACCATTTTGTATTAACATTTCTACAATATCAGTAAGTCCACTTTCTGAAGCCAACATTAAAGCCGTTATTCCATCTAATGTTTTTTCTTTAAAATCAGCTCCATGTTCTATAAGAAGTTGAATAATATCTTTATTTTTATGTTTTAATGCATGCATTAGTGTTGTCATTCCTTTATTGTCACTCACTAAAATATCAGCTTTGTTTTCTATAAGTATTTTAGCAATATTAAAATGTCCACCGTCTGATGCTAACATCAGCGCTGTAACACCAAACTGATCGGAAATATTAACATCTGCTTTATTCTTTATAAGAATTTCAGCAATATCACAATGTCCATTTTTCGATGCCAACATTAAAGAAGTTAATCCTTTAGTTCCTTTCATGTTAATATCAGCACCATTTTTGATCAACATTTCTACAGTGTCTGTATGGCCATTTTCGGATGCTTGTATAAAAGCGATAGATATTTCTTCTGTTGTCTTTTTTTCTTGAATACTAATTTTGGGAATCTCGTCGTTTACAATAAGTTCTGGTGAAGCCTGCAAGAAAAGAAGAGTAAAAACTTCGTTTTATGACCTAAATATGCAATTGCATCAATGTGTTTAAAAGCTTTAAAAGACTTTGTAAATGTTTCAAATTAACCAAAAATATTTATATACATTTTTATATGTGTCTAAACCTAATTAAATAATTCCCCATAATGACTCTTTATTTTATTTACAGGAGGTTTTTGTGTTTTAAAATTAATGTTAACCACATTCACTTACTAATTAATATAACTTAAGGTACTTAAAAATGATAAAGGAGAGTGAATACTCACAATACTTTTGCTGTTGCTTTCTAAAACAAATGGATGAAAAAATTCAATAAGTTAAACAATTATCGTTAAATAAAACTAGTAACATTGTAAGACCCTTCAGTTCGTTTCGAGTCGTCACAAATTAAAATCACATAGTTTGTTATTTAAATAGCAATAAAGTCAGATGCATACCAAAATATACCTTAAAAATGGAAACAAATACAATTAATCCCTTTCTGCGGTGTCCCTCCAGCATCTTTTAGTAGGTTAAATGCTAACCAGCTTGGTGGTAAAAAAAAAAAATTAAAGAAATACTGTAGGAAGACATTTAGTTGGTGGCCACCACAACTCCATACACATGTACTCCATAGATGGCTGTGCCATAGCCATGTGCAGGGCGTGTAGTGTGACAGATTTTCCGTGTGATTATACTTACAGCCCTCCATTTTGAAGGAGAGAGTGTCAGGTGAATGGAAACTTTTATTGGGTTCGTAACGATTCTGGATAGCTCGGCCTGCCTATTTTCGTTCAGAATGTATTAGATTATCATAAAAATAATATTATATTATTTTAATTAAAAAGAATGCCCCCCTGGAGCTTCGGTTGAGAAGTCCGTGGTGGCTTGTCGACTAGAAGGCAACGGCAAACGACCCCCTCGACGTTACCCGAGGAACACAACTACTGGGCGCGTCCTGCGTGGGCAGACAAGGACGTGCTCGGTACCTGCAGTAAATAAAACAGCACCTACAGATCTGCGAGCTGAGACGCTTCACAATTGGAGGTCAAGGCAGAGTCAGGGTAGAGATCATGAATACACGTTTCCGTTAATAGATATGAGGCTACAGGCGAAGGTGGTAACCTTTAGCTGATGATTCTTACTATTCAGCCCTGATGAGCTGCTTCAAGACAAACATTTCGTCCCCTCGACTTTGCAAACTAGTTGCGTGGTAACAGCCAACTATTGAAACCCTCTTAGAGGACGACCGACGCCTCCCCGGGATGGGTGGGGGAAGATATTAGGACGCACATTTTACCATCCCAACTGCTGAGAAATTCGTTCGTGTGCACTGTGTGCGAACACAGTTTTGGACAAACCGGGAGACTTTGGGTTGGGGGGGGGGGCGGAACCCGATGGAGCCGACTCGGGTGGGGGTCGTCCTGGCAAATAGACATCTCCCTCGTGCCACTTCGCTGCTGGGTACCGAACTTAGGGNGGGGGGGGGGGGGGGTGGGGGGGGTGGGCATAAAGAGCATTAGCTCGATGGCCAACTCACGCGATTTCTTAATGTGAAAATTTTTATCAGAAGAATGAAGATTGAATTTTTCATTTAATTTTAATGAAATATTTTCCAATAAAAATAAATTGAAGATTATAATTGCAATGCATTAATTTATTATTATTGCTTTCTTCATTTTTAATGGATAGGTAAGAAAAACCATTTTATTTTTTGACCTAGACAGTTTTTATTTTAATATATTAAGGGCTTCAAAACAGACCTCTTGACCTCAACAAAAAGCTAAACTCCATATGGGACGGTAATTGGAAACATGAGGGAAAATGGATGGAAGAGATGCGGCTCTGTTTAAGTAACATATAATGATATTGAAGCAATCGGTACTTCATTCGGCTCCCAACATAGTTTTAGCAGTTATCATTTATAAAAACGGGTTATCATTTGAAAAAAGGCCGACTCCTGTCATAAGAATTAAATAAAAAACAACAAGGTCCTAAATTATATGAACAAAAAAACTAAAGAACATATGTAAAAGTTCCTTTTTTTTTTAAAGAACAGACGATGAATGAAAACCCCCTTTCCTCCACCAGAAATTAAAAAAAAAATATTCAAAAGATGATTTAAAGACAGACTTTCTATGACATAAAATTTATTATGACTAAAGTTAGAACTACCTATAATCTAAATATATTGCAAGCGCGAATCAAATGAGATTTCACTTCAACTAGATTTTACGTTTGTATATTTCTTCTAAAACAATTAGTTACCGGTTGTGCTAATATTTTCAAAGATTCAAATAAATTAACGTGCAAAAAATGGCATTTAGAGTAGCATATTAATATTAATATCAAAAGCAACTTTTGAAGGTCAATCAAGTACCCTTATATATATTATATTATTTTTTTTTAATTACTGAGTTGCCGATTTATCACTTCAATTTAAAGTTCAGCTGGTACTTATCGACAATGCAATCAAATTCTTTTGTAAAATTTTTATCTTTTTTGCGAAGACATACAGGTAGGAAAAAGAGCCTAATCTACTTCTCAAGTCTTAAAGAATTCCTAGCTCAAACTCGAGTGGAATTATTGCTGTTTCTTTTTTATAGCATGTAAATTGAGTGAACAAACACGTTTGTGAACGTAATTAAAGGTTCAGTCTAAGGTCTCAATTAAAAAAATGTTTGCAACAAAAACCTTCCCACAACTGATCCAACTAATAGATGTGTCGTTAGGTAAGTAAAAACATTCCACATTAATTTTATACACGATTTGCGGAAATGACGTTGACTGAGACCACTGTGGTGAATTAAGCTTACTGTTGAGAACACACGTTCCATTACACTTAACCCAGTTATCTTCCCCAAAACGCCTTTTGAAGAAACCGTAGGCAAGGAATAGAAAACCCTTAATACAGCTGTGTAAATTTTACTGATCTTTTTTCCTTTACTTCACATATTTAACTACTATCTTTTTTTGAGGTATTAAAAGTCTATTATGTTGTTCTGAGTAAAGATTTATCCCCTTTATTAAAAATATCATATGTTAATTCAAATTCACTGATGACTTCGTGGGCCGGTAAAAAGACGCAGCGAGCCGGATCCGAATAGATAACTACTGTGACCCGACTTTGCCAGCATTGTGCACGGGCACCGAAATGGTTCCGCTCCAGTCAACTTCTTTCCCCAAATAAAAATTGGGCAGCCCATTGTGGTATTGGAGTCTTTTGTAAATGAATCCATGGCATCACCAAACATATGGAACGCGTTATCACGTGAAATAGGGGCCTTCAAAAAGCGCTAGCTCAAACGCCTCACGTTAGGTGCATATTATTTACCTCTCGATAAAAAAAGCTATATGAAATTTTTGAGTTCACTAACATTGTATTATTGTTCATATTGGATTACTCATTTTGTTAATATTAAGACTGGTAAGATCTAGGAAGAATATCCTTTCAAACTTAGCAACTCAAGCTCAGTTCTGGTTAATGCGACTTCGATTTTGTTTATTTTTAAGGCTGAACATTTAACACCAACATGGAGGATTCTTATTACCTTTCATATTTAGAGGATCCAATTCGTCAGGGTTTTCCGCAAACTCTTTAGCACTCAAAGCTATGGAAATAAAATATAGTAATTAATTAAAATATTGTATTTACTAATCTGTAAGGTAACTGTTGTACCAATGCTTATACTGTATGTAATATAGTTAACATGTCAAGTTTAATGGGATGATTGTAATATTTACTGGTAGCTCAATGAGCTGAAGTGTTCTCAAGTGTTCATGTATTGGGATAACGTGCTATTTAAGTAAGACTAAGGGCTGCTTTATTTTATTACATAATGAAATATATCTTAATAGTGTTGTTTATTATAGCATAGGGCGTCTAACGCTTCCCCGGGATGGGTAGGGGAAATTATTAGGACGTACATTTTTCCATCCGGACTCCTGAGAAAGTCAACCATGTGAAATGTGTGCAAACACAGTGTCGGACCGACCGGGTGTCTTTGGGTTAGGACGGCCCCCGGCGGAGACCCTGGTCGAGCAGACTCGGGTTGGGGATGTCCTTCCAAAGGGACATCCTCGACGTGCCGCTCCGCGGCCCGATACCGGGTTGGGGAGGGGTGTTTTGGGAAGGGCATCAAGAGCGCAAGCTCGACTGCCGGCTGACGCCATTTCTTAATGTTTGCATAGATTATTAAAAGTGATGGCAAGCATCAGTTGTGTTCTCCCAAATAATCCTTGTGGTATATTGCCGACTGAATTAACAAGAATTCAGCTCGGATAATAATTGATACACAGAAGAGTTCACTGAACGTTTGCAGCAATTTTTAACATTGCATATGCTTAAGCTCTAGCGATATTGGAGCTGCAAGAGATTTTCAGTTACTGTTTGTGTTGAAATAATTTTTTTTTCAATTTTTTTTTATTTTTATTACTAACTTCTTAAGTAATTGTTAACAGTAACAGACATGTCTTTTTTTTAAAATTAAAAATATATTCGAATAATGTTGATATTATATTGCTATTTGTTATGTTTAATATAAAGCTAGAATACGTGTACATATATAACATTGCAAAATTGCGTCAGTGTAGAGCTAACTTCACACATTATTTGAATAAATCACATTTTTGTAATCTTTTTTTTTTTCACGTTATGAAAAATGTGACGGTTTGGAGAATGGAAATTAGAAAATTTATTATCTATTGACATGCTAATGAATATATATTTGTAAACAGAAGAAAGAGAGAGAGAGAGAGAGAGAGAGAGAGAAATATTTTTTTTTAACTGCACATTTTTATTCATTTCTGCTGATTTACTTTAATTTTTATGGTATATATTTTTACAAATTCAATCTAATTTGTAATTAATTGTTCTCAAATATTTGATATACAAAACCAAAAAAAAAAAACTGTTGACATTTATTGACATTAATAATTAATAGGTTAAAATATACGGATCCTCAATTTAACTATGGCATGACATAGTTTTTGTATGGGGACGAGTATATTCAATATGATACATAAAATGGACTACACATGAACTGTGCTTAACTAACCTGATTTCCTTTGGTTTGCGATCACTTTAAAACAGCTATAAAAATAAACATTTTATTAATTCAAAACGGATGTATCAAATTTAATTTCTCCTGTGTTAGTTATTAAAGAAAACATGGTAAAATTATAATAAAGAATAACAGCTTGTAGAAAGGAACATACCAGAACAGTTTTGTAAATTTATTTTAAGCTATTGATTAACAGCTAATGGTTAAATTGGCAAATATTTGGTGGGATTAATGAATTGGTTTGTTAACAAATGTATTCATTAACAAATATATTGATTAATGAGTGCATGGATTACAAGATAAAAAGACTAACAGGCAGGGAGAAATGGAGACAGACGGTCAAGTAAAGTTAATAGATGAGTGAATAACGTTCACTTACCTGTAAATGGTAAGCAAAAAAACAATTAATGTTAGGATTCCAGTGCATATAACTATAATCAGGGTTATTCTTTGATAACTTTGGCCACCTGTTTTTAAGATGTAAAATTAATGTTTAAAAATTAGCTTATAAATATTAAATAGCTCTTCGGCTGGTTGTAAATTAGTCGAACTACAAAATAATTGCAATCATTCCTCGAAACAAATGTTGTTGTTTTTAAGTTTAACATACTTTAAAGTGTGTGTACATATTTTTACAAGGATTTTAAAGAATTTAATTGTAATTTATTTTTAAAAATGTTTCAATTTATTTTATTTTAACTTTTTTTTAAAAATATTGTGTAGTGGAATGTTGGATTATATTTCCAATACTTGTAAACAATAACCCATACTTTAAATTTTCATGTTGCATTATTTCAAGCTATTAAAGTAATATGTCGGTAATCATAGTATCAACAAATGGAATTGGTAAGGTCCTTACGTTTTGTGACATTACACTCCATATGTTTATATGCCAAGTCAAGTCGACAGAGTGCATACTTTATTTTGACATTGATCGTAATTTCTTGATATAAAAAACGTTTGAAGACTGCTCGGTTTTCCCCAACATCTATGTTTGTTGAATCATTGGATGATATCTCTATTAGACAAGGCGTTGCCTGTCCCATACACACATATTCTATATCTATGCGTAAAACATCTTTATCAATAATAAATTTACAAGCATCTTCATCGGTAATGTTATTTCCATTTACTGTCAATATGCCGGTGACATCTGTAGGTTCTGAAATAAAAAAGACCGCCAAATATTTATGGTAAATAAAACCCTATGAAATATGTTTTATTCAAAACTAGCTAAATACATGTGATTCGCTACGATGTTTGAGGGAATTACAAATATAAAAAGATGTAGTGTCCTTGGTCATGTATACCCATTAATCGGTAAGAGAAGAATTCAGAATCAGAACATTCCTTAATTGTGATTTCGGCATGCAGGTGTATACTGATGCATCATCTGCAAGAACTATTTTCTGCGATAAAGATATAAGATAATATTGCATTGCGTAGCTGGCAAGATGATATTCACTGATTAGTATCAAATTAGTGTTATGCTATGACAAATCATGTATAGATTTTCATAAACATACTAAAGTCTCACTATTTTTGTAAGAAGTTATTTAAAACAATAATCATTTATGTTGATACCATATTTTTTTCGGTTTAAAGAGTTTCACTCTCCCTAAGCCAAAGCTAATTATCCATGTGTAAATTTCTCAAATCTGACTGTATTTTTTCTTTCATTATATTTAGATATGTGTCAATTTCACAGAGATTACCTAGAGTGTATACTTTTTCATCATCTGTATTTAAATTTTCATATCCTATATCATGTATCCCCAAAATTCCTTTTGGATACAGACTTTTGAGAACACCTCTGATTTTATATTAGTTTTGAGACGACCCCTCGTGTCTAATCAGAATTTAAGTGTGGGCAATATGTGGGATGACTTGAGAAAGGCTTTGACCTCACCAGCAATTTTCTCGAAGATAAGCGGTGTCTTTCTTGAAGTTAACCAACAGTGGAAAAATAATCCCACCCATAAAGAATGTGCATCTGCGAAAGTCCTGAAGAGTTGTCTCAACGCTTTTATGCCTCATTGTGTGCCCATGGAGTATACATCTTAAATAATCATCCTGCACGCCCGAAGTATTTGCTTTGTATTATATTATTTAGAAATGCTGCACAAACTGATTTCAGCTGAGAGGCGGTAGAAATGCAGACCTAGCTGAATTTCCAACGTAAAAAAAAAATTGCTGTCATACTCAAGGAAGCTCCAGAAGTCGAGATATTTTGTTGGCCTTTTCTTACAATTAGAACCATCAGATAAGTAGTCACTGAGCCCAGTTCCATGAAATTGCCATCAAATCGAATGTTTTTCTTAAAATATCACTTGTGTTATTTCTTTTTATTCCTAATAATTGGTATATTGTATTCCGTTGTAACAGATTTTAATGTTTTTGAAATGTAAGAGTGCTTAACCAATGAACTACTACTTTAACGTAACTACATCCCTCACCGCTCTGCCACTTTGAGATTTGTTTAGGGACCATAACGATGTCGGAAATTTTTTTTCACCAATGTCATTGATCTTTTATCGAAGCAGGACTTTTTGGCACCGCCGTTTTGGCGCCATCTGTGTGCCAAAATGACCAGCGCCAAGACGGCGGTGCGAAAACGTCACATACCGATCTTTTATTTACCTTTTCCCACCAAGAAAGCTTTACGTTTTTCTTCCTAAGGCTTGTCTCAATTTAGTGCGAATTTATTAACGTGTGTTATACTTTATTAATTGTTGATTTAGCATACAGACCTTTAGAAATATCAAATACGTAAATTGAAAAAAGAGAACAAAGCATATATATATACTGAATAAATAAATTGATAAAAAATAGATACATATTATCTCGTCAAATTCTGCATAATGGTCAGCCGTTAGTAGATGATACAACTTTGTATATCGTATATCGAAATTTACTTTAATGAACATAATTTAAGATCTTAAAAGTGTATTGTTTGGTGCCAACAATTTAAAAAAAAATATATAGCATGCATTCAAATACGGTGTCAAATATATAAAACGTGAAATCAAAGCAAAAAAAAAACAACGAAATAAACCATTGCTTTAACATATGTGAGGATTTTAGGCATGTTTAAAGCCGATTTAAAAAAAACAAAAACAACACAAATAGTTGTAAATGTAAATCTAGAGATAAAGAGGTATCTTCATGGACAAAATCTTCTTAAAAGTGCTAGTTGCTACTGACGTCTCGTGATAAGCGAGTGAGTGAATGGTAAATTACTTTTACATATCAAGATAATCAACCTGAGCCATAGCCTTTTAGTCATGCAAGTTTCTGATTCATTATTTTAAAATTTCAAATCCTGTGTACGAAGTAATTCTAAAATCTGGCAATGCAGAATTTAACTAGGGATTATGTCTTGCCGTTTAAAAAGATGATTGAGTTATGACTTTGCAGAGTTGAAAAATGATCAAAGTATAGACAATTTAGCCACTTAAAATTTCCTTTTAATACTGACGTATTGTGAAGGCGATTTTTTATTAACTTTGGTAATTCTATAATTTTTAATCTTATTTTTTTTTTAAACATATTGTATCTGTTGTAAAGTAAAAACAATATTATCAAATTACAACAACAACAAAAATTACTTACCTACTATTTTAGGTAATTTTATTTCATCACCTGCCATTTCAGTTTGATTGTAATGTTTTATGACACCACGAATAGAGGCCTCGGTAAATAGTGGGAGTACTTGTGAATATATTGAAATGTTATATGCGTCCTCAGAAATTTTTGAACAGTGGTAATAGTTATCAGTCTTTTTATTTTCTGTACATTCGGAATTGATGTCTACAGAAAATAACTGTGGAATAAATCATGGACTCATTATAATACTTAAAACTTAACAAAATAAGTCTGCTTATTGTATTTGCTTAGCTTAAATATTTTAAAACGAATTTGTTCGGACAAAAAAAATCCATTCATAATTGTATTGTATTGATTTTAATAGGTCATATTTTAACTAAATTTAATCAACTTAGATAATATTGAAAATATAATAGTCTCTTAACCCACGTAATATGTTATTTATGTATATATACAATAAAAAAACTTACGAGTTTAAATTCCATACTAGTCTTTGGCATAATCTCAAATCTCACAATCGAGTTCTTCTGTAAATCTTTTTTCAACTTCACCGTCGTATTAAAGAAAATCTTGTCAACGTTGCTTATTAAACCAGAAGTACATTTAGTGTTGCAGTCTTCTTGTCTTATCGCAAACATTTGTATTTCTTGGCCACAAGAGAACTCTGTTGATGCATATCAATGTATTGCAATGTCAACTTACACATACACATAACTCATAAAACTTTTTAAAAAATACTGTTCGTTTGATCTTAAAATATCTTGAAAATACCTTAATTTGATTGGACTTTATAATGTTTCGATTGGATTGTTTGTTTGTTTTTGTTTGTTGTTTTTTTAAATAGTACTTCATCATTAAGAGAGATCTGAAGTATGAAACCATAATACAGAATTTCCAACTTCTTCCATTGGTACTAATTCACATTGAGCAGTTTCACCACAAGAAATATCATTTATACAATTTCATCCAAGTAGTAAGTTGAAAACAAATTATTATGAGGTATATAATTATCTATTTAATATTTATAGTAAATGAGGGGAAACTATTTTTACATGTATAATGTAAAACTGTTAAACATTTAAGTTTTTTAACAAATCTAATTATTAATATTTAGTCATAAATTGCATACTTATTGTTTTTGGCCTGACACTCCATGTGAATTATTTCATCAAACTAGTTTGTATTTTAATTATTTTCCTTTTCTTTTCTTTCTTTAAATTATAAAGTTAATATGATTTGAGTATATAACAAATCCACGTAAGCTATTTTTCTGCTAAAACATAATTCGCTAAAACTCCAATTTCTAAATAATGAATTTTAAATGATAAAATATGTGACAATTATTATCAGATCGTATCAATTTTTTCATGGAGCTATTTTCATTCGAAAAATATTATGAAATAAAATACATCACAAGAAATTGCAATTATTGCATAGGGTTCTTGGTTCTTGGATTTTTATCAAAACCTATTTTTTCATGCTTGGATTTTTTCCGTTCTAATATATCGCATTAATCCTTGTTTTGTGTAGGTACTTAAAAAGTAGCTCTGGCATTCTATTGGTCACCGCTGATTACCTGATGCCTCGAAATGTTGAATTTACCTCACGTTGGATCAGTAGTTCAAAATTAGTCATCATTATATTCAGGTGCTGTTAACCGTTTACGATGAAGAATTACGTTTTTTACAGATATCCGACATTTAATTTTAAGAACTATATTAGTTAGCCTAGCTAAGCAATCATTGCACAGCGTTATATTTGAAATAGTTTTTAAAAAATGAAACGTATACAATTGTAGAAATGCTCAATAAATTTTACACGTGCAAGACGTTGAAGTTACTTACTTTTTTTTAAACAATGAAAAGAGAAACATTTACAAATGTGCACAATTATATTTTTTTTTGTATTTAAAAATAAAGGACAGGAGGCTTCTACATATTCATAATTTTGCATTGTTAAAATTTAATGTCATTGAGAGTACAATCACCACTTTCACTTTATCTATTTTGTGTATGTTTCTGTACCCAAAAATTCTTATGTATGGACATGTATCATTGTGTTTATTATTTTTTTTTTAATTTGGAAAATGTTAAAATGTTACTTAATTAAAATATGTATTTTTTGTGTAGTGAAAATGTATGTGTACTATTTAATCAAAAACATTCCCACTTGTTGGGATTAATAAAACAATCTTATCTAATCTAATAACATTTTTTTTTTAAATCAGTGACTTACTGTTCAGTATTATTAATATGACCAGTATCTTGATTTTACCCAGCCAACACATCCTGTCCTTTCACAGCTTCTGCAAAAAAAAAATAATAATACTTTAGAATGAAATATTAACATTTACTTTAATTGAAACAATTTTTATAGCCGTAAAGGTTGTTTTTTTTTTTTTTTGTGTTATTTTTTTTTTTTTTTTGTGTTATTTTTTTATTTCTGTGGTATTGCTGCATTTTAGTGAACTTGGCAAAACAAATTCCTTTGATATAATGTATACATCATAATAATTTTAAATGATTAAGTATGTCATATCAAAGTAATAACGTACATTTGGTTATATTTTCTTACTTCATGTTGTTTTAAAAAGAAATGCATTTAAATTCACCATTGTTTTAAGGCGCACACATTTTATATTATGATTTTAAACGGTTTTAATAAAATAATAGGTATTAATAAAACTCGATTGCTAAAAGTAATATAAGAACTATTCAAAGGACAATGTGTGGCTAAAACAGCGTTTGAAAGGCATTTCATCTCCTTATGTTTATAATTGAATGTGCATGTGTCAGTCTCAAAGACACCTAATGTAGCATATTGGCTCGAATTAGCAGTTTTAGCATAGTTCATATATGCACGATTCATTTAATGACTTCACCGCTGAAGTCTTATTTTGAAAATGAAAGTACGGCATGGACAACCACAGAATTGATAAATGTCATAATCATTTCTTTCACCCATTACTGACTAACGTTAACACCCTAAATACACATGAAGGGCTCAAGGGAAAAACAAGTGATGTCAGGTTTTGAGAGTTTTGAGAAAATTGAATTTAAAGTTTGAAAATTCCTCATAAAAGTATGAAAATATCAAGATGTCTACGTATTTATTTATTGACTAAGCAGCTTTTTCAGTTGGATCTATGTATAATATTATTCTATTAAATGGAATGTAGCCACAAGGGAGATAACATAGAAATTTTGAAAAACTGACATCATTGGTTTTTCCCTTGAACCCTACACATGTTTTAATACAAAAAGAAACTGATTATTTATAACACCAAAACCAATCCTTTAAAACAGAAACGGCCAACACCGTGGCCAGCATACGACTCGCCGTGTCTAACATTGTTAACCATGGACGCCTGAGACATCACAAATTAAATTAATGACAAAAAAAAATTAAATTTCAAAAAGATATGTGACAGGAAAAATAAAATGATAGCACAATAGATTTATTTTTGTCATTTAGCTTTTCGTTTTATTTAGAAATGTATCATGTGCATTAAGAAAAGATAAATATTTCTACAGTCCATTTAGTGGGTGTTTAGTTTGTTTGTTTGGGTTTTTTTTTTAAAGGTGAAAAGACATGCAGTACGCATACGGTTTACTGGCTATTAAAGCCTTTTGGGATGGCCACTCACACTCTAAAGCATTATTATTGTTGTTTTTTTAACATTTTTTGGCTTGCTTAGTTCATTTATTTGTTTTTCAGTTAAGATTTCATTGAGTTAAGATTTTGAAATTTAAAAAACTTACATCAAGTCTGTCTAAACATGATTTCTGTACCAGATTATACGTTTATGTAATTTCATTGGAGATGATTCATACAATAAGACTGCCAATTTTTTTCAGACTTGTTAAATTTGCGGAATACGTATATCCCAACACAGTTTATTGAAATTTTATTCTAAAAGAAAATTGTGTTATCGACGATACCACACTTAAATGTTGCAGTTTCTTTTTTACGTTTTAAACATTCTATTTTTAAGATTCCAATATTTCTTTTTTTTTTTTTTTTTTTTCAAAACTTTCTTAATTTTACGGCCAATTTTTATTTTGTATAGTTTGTTTTTTTTATTTTAAACATCTTTTTTTTAAACATCTTTATTAGAAAATGTTGAAAAGAATCGTCCAGTATATAAATCAACCAGGGGAGGAAATTTCCCCATTTATAAGGGATGTTCTTGCTGGCAGTTTTTTTTTTTTTTTTTTTAAATTTACACATCCCTCCGGCAGTGTAGCATACATATATTTGTTTCACGTGTTACTATTGATAATCGAAATAACAATGGTAAACCGGGAGTGAGTGCAAAACTAATTTGTAGGAAACCAATAAGTGGAAAGGAGTTTTGATTAAACGAAAATTACCGTAGTTCAAAGAGACGTGTTCTTTTTGTGTGTTTTTTAACGATGATTGTTTGAATTAAAATTTGTTAAATCCTTATATTTTAAAAATGTATTATAGGACGATGCGAGTGAGAAATGATGAAAATAGTAACGTTAACTTAAAAGTTAAAACGAGTTTCTCTTTTTACCCGTTATTTCAATTCGAAAATGGTTCCATTTAAATATAAACTAACTACAGTGCGAACACCATTGCTTCGTACTATTTGCTTTCGCACAATTTAAGCTTCACTCTATTTACTGAATACACATGACAAAGAATCACGCATGCGATTGCACGTGCTTACACGCGTATGTATACATGCACGCATTCACTCACACAATGAGTTATCGATATGAACAGTTCGAAATCAATTTTGTCATTAATGGTTGATTTATATAGACAATTTTCATTTTTTTCCTTAGTACTTATTTTTCAAGCCACAATTTTTGGGGGTTGGAAAAGTGGACCTATATTTTATAAGCTGAATATTATATGTGATTAGAAACGTCTTTCTTAAGATTACAATATTTTTTTTCCCTAACAGAAATTCAAATGAAAAGAAATTATATATTTTTTAGTTATTTTGCTTTTAATTTAACTATCAATTTTGTAAAATATTTACTAGCTACTTAACCGCATTTCCGTAGGAAAATTTTTTAGACTCAAACATGCTTAAAGATGCAGAGCATAAAGAATCAACCAAAATGTAGAGCTATTAATAAATGGCCAAAAAAAAAAAGACTATAATAAAACTTTATGATAACATTTAATTGGAAATGGATTTGATATTTTATATAGGGTTATTTCCCACTTATTGATATTTAATCCTTTTAACAATATACCAATACCGTGTTGTTATGAAAGGGATATCTGTGTTTCTAAATGTCTTCATTCACATCGAGAACTTTGTGACAATTATATTTGAAGATAGAAAAAAAATGCAATTGGTTAAGAAAACGTTTAAAATCCTGTTACACGTTTATTGAACATATTGTATTATTTATTTTCATGTTGTAAATTGCTTTTTTTTTTTTTTTTTTTTTTTAAATTATTTTTAAATTTTAATTTAAAAAAATTTATATTACTGTGAAATGTTAAACCCATCTAAGCTTGGATACGAAAATGATGTATATGCATCTTAATCGTATCTTATTTTAAGCAAGCATCGGACTGAATCTACTTTAGCAAAATGAAAGACATGTCTGAAGCTGCTGGTCGAAGTTTGGTTTTTGGCAATCATTTGTGTAGCCCTGTTCTGTTTGTTTGATTAGGATGGTTGGCTTAATTATGTATTTTTTTTTTTTTTTTTTTTTTTTTTTTAAAGTATATTTAAATTTTAATTTAAAAAAATTAACATTACTGTGAAATGTTAAACACATCTAAGCTTGGAGACGAAAATGATGAATATGCATCTTAATCGTATCTTATTTTAAGCAAGCATCGGACTGAATCGACTTTAGCAAAATGAAAGACATGTCTGAAGCTGCTGGTCGAAGTTTGGTTTTTGGCAATCATTTGTGTAGCCCTGTACTGCTTGTATGAAAAGGAAGGTAGGCTTAACCAAGAATACCATAAAGACATGTTGCACTTTTTAAAATTTTAGATGCGAGCTTGTATAATAATTTTTAACATTCGTTTTACTTTTTCAAAATACTCAACACACATTTTTAACACCAACTATAGAAAAACAAGTAGCCTAAGTGGGTGAATAGATGAGTGGGACATGGGTGGGGAGGTGGGTGGTTGAATGGATTGATGGGTGTGTAGGTAGTAAGGTAGTAGTTAGGTAGTAGGTAGGTAGGAAGCTAGGTAGGTAGTTAAGTAGTTACGTAGGTAAGTAGAGGGAGAGAGGGTGAGACTATAAAATGTTAACTTGGTTTACTTCATAACTTGCTTAGGAAGAAATGGGAATCCGGTTTCGTTGAAACATTCTCAATTTTGCATCACATAATTGCAGTGATGACACATACAATAAATATGTTGAATGAAAATAAAAGTAAGCGACGATCTTGGATATGTTCAACTATTTCAACGGATTGCTTGATGCCAGTTAAAAAGGACAGGAATTCTCAATTGATCCGCAATTATTTTCTGAATATTTTCTATTTCCTTGTGGTTATTCATTGTAGTCAATATTTAGTCTTCAAATTAAAAAGTAGACACTAAAATATTGAGGTATCCAAAAATAAAGAATTATTATTGTTACGCGGAGATCCCTTCAATCTGTGAGATGGTCTTGAAAAAAAAAAGCTATTATCTTCATTCTAGTATGAAAATCAAATACGAGTGTAATATGATGTAGCAACGATTTGGAGTAAGTCATTATGAGGATTTTAATATTTAAAGTAAAAAAAACAACCTCCTATTATCGTTTGTCGATTGTTTATAATGTTTTTATCTGTAAACTGTATGCTGTTCTTGGGGCATTTCTTTCTTGTATATGTCTTCACATATGAAAATGGGTAACCTAATAAAAAAAATATTTCGAAAGTAATTATACTGATGTGTAAAGTTTAAGTTTGTAAACTCAAATGGTGTCGCAGAGTTGTTTCGTTGGTGGGGTCGATGGCAGTGTATTACAAAAAAATATTTAAAAAATAATTTAATTTGGACAAACCTTAGAGTTCTAATAATATCATAATACTATTCTTATTTTTATCTCATGTGGATGATCTGTGTTTCTTTAATTAAAGAAAAAAAAAGAAACATATTGAAATTTTGTGAATGAACCGAGGCTATTATATTTTAAAATAAATTTCGAAAAAAAAAATTTCAAAGGTTTTCTATTCCAAAGCCATTTTTTTTATAGCATCTCTTTATTAAGTTTCGTAAAAATTTGGGATCACGACTAGGGAAACTTGTTTGAAACATGTGCTCTATTAGTATTTAATTCTTTACTTGTAAGAAGAATTGATAGTCTACACTCTTAACTCTCGAATTAATGAAGAGTCAAAGAAAGGGGGTAGCGTGAACGATAGAGAATGCAAAGAGATAACTTAATCAATATAATGACTCTTTATGAAGCTCATTGCACCTGCAGGCGTTTTGATTCAAAGATGAATTTATGTTTCAATTAATGCATTTTGTTTTGTAACAGTTTTGTAAGTATTTAATTGAAAGTGTTTAATTTTTTTTTTTAAATCCCATGTCATATAAGGTGTCTTTAATTTCAATGAAAAATAAATACTTTAAAAGAAGATTGCAATCAACGTACAATTATGCTTTTATAAGATCTGCATTTTAAAAATTATATTCAAAACTGCCTTACTTACTTCAAATAAATAACATTGTTAAATTATTTTTGCACTGTTTTTTTTTTCAATTCTTTTCACTACCGTACAGGTATATTTTTTTTTCAAAAACAAAATATGATTTTTAAAAAAAATAAACATATTAAAATATATTTTATTACAAACACACTTTTTTAAATAAATATCTATACGTTTGTATTTCTGATTCACTTTTTATAAATTTAATTTAGTTAACAATAAATTATCAACACAATTAATCGATTTATTTCATTCCTTTGAAGTATAACACTCAAATTTTCTAATTAAAGCTAATGCTAAAGTTGTGTTCGTATGTTTGATGGCGTGATAATAATGTTGCTGTTTTTTAAAAATAATTTTAAATATGTTCAGTTGCTTATAAATCCAAGTAATAATTTTGTAATTTGTTCCTTTAAAATATGTTTTGGGAAAATAACAGAATAATATCAATGTTCAATTCTTTGCGATTTAATACAGAGAATAGCAATTTAATCGCGATGTTTTTTTACATTCATGATGAAGTTGAACACATACTACCATGTACATAATTATGTGTGGCTAAAATTTACTGCCACTTTTGTGATTTTCAGAAGAGATCGAAGTAGTAGGCTTGACGTGTTAAGGGTTGCGAAAAACTTTTTAAAAGGGTAATTGGGTAAGCCAGTAGCGTATCTAAGGTTAGTGCTACGAGGGCGGACCCAGATTTTTTCGCTCAATATATATATTTTTTTTAGAGTAAAGCTTTTGCCTGGTCCCTGATAACTAAATAACTGATTTTGGCGTAAAAAATATATCATAAGTTCTAAGGCGCTGAGATTACTGTTCCCTGAAAAGTTGTTGGCACTTTTATCAAGGTTTTTCTCGCTACACAACTGAATGTTCCCTTTAAAGCGCTTACTTCGCTTCTAAAGGGTAGACAACGGAACGCAATCTATATTAACTTTCCTAACACAAAAGAAAACAAAACTTGTTTTGACAAATGTGCAACTGCGTGTGTGCTGTGCCGGGCTGCCACGGTATGCACATTAACTTAACATTATCAAGGGAAGCCGGCGTATAGGGCATTCCACGGCGTTTCAATGTCACCTATTTTATGACCAATGGTTCAGATGAATGGAAGAGATGTAGTAACGAATGTCGTGTGTAACAGTGCTGAATATCGCTTGACGTACTGACACCTGGGTGGCGAAGTTTGTGTCGGTAACGGGTGTGGCGATGGCTTTTGTGTGTATTAACAACATTATATAAAAGGTAAAGGCGTTTGTGGACGCTTTGTTTAGCTTTTGCCCCATGCAGCATTTAGTCATGGTTTTCCTCTTGAAGTAAACACATATAAAGATTTACCACATACCCAACCTTTTGGTGCAGAACCGAGGGAACGAATTGAATTTATTGGAAACATGACAGATCACGTTCACAGTTGAAACCCAAATGTTTTTGACCAACTTTAAAAAAAAAAAAATAACGTGCGATCTCGCAATTGTAGGTCACTGGGCTGTGTGTGTTTTTATGAAATGACTCTATGAATGGTAGAAGTTGTGGGGGACGACCTATTTTATGCAAGATAATCCTTAACATTCTTCTGTTTTTTTTGTCTAAAGTATTCCTTTGTATCCAGTATTACTCAATTAGGTCTACATGTTAAAAAAATAGCGTGTGACTCATCGACAACATAATTATACTTTTTTAAAAAAAACGTATTTTCTTTATTATATAATATTTAAATCATAAAACCTGTTTTAAAATAAAGAATTCATTAACAAAACGAAATACTTAGAGCTTATACAGTTTATATTTATGGACTGGCTTGTTGATTATCACTTATAACTTTATAACATATCGGAAATACCCATAAATATATGGGTCACTTACAATCAGATCATATCTAGACTTTGGCTAAGTACTTTACATACATGTCTCGATTAGAACAGTTGTACATGACTCAATTATCAGTTCATCAAATAAAATTTACGCTATAGAAATAACTTAAGCTCGTCACATGGTATGGTTGCAACATTATTAAAATTAATCTATCCTTTGTACTAAATTTGCATCACAGCGTATGTGTTGGTTTTAGCCACACTCTGAAAAAACATGGCTGTTCTCTTTACACGTTCCAGCCATTGTAACTAAAAGTATGTCTTCTGGCCAAATTTAGTTAGTGTTACATCAATGCAATGTTTGTTTTGATATAACGCATACCTTTGTATTATATGTGCATACCTTTGTTTGAAAAATGTAAGGAGCATTAAGGAAGTCCTCAAAATTAAAATTTGGGCAGATTTATTTATTTGTTAGCTTAAAGTTTAAGTTTAAATAATAAGATGAAAAATATATATTCCCTGTTTCGTGTTTATTAAGAAATATAAGATTTTTTTAAAAATGTTATTTATTAGTGTATATGAAAGGTCAATCAAAAAGTGTTGTTCTAGAAGTTAATATTTTAAATTTAAAATGTATAAGCAAAACAAAATACCGACACCAAATATGGCAAGATGATATCATAACGGAAATACCCATAATTATTTAGCGCGTTCCCGCAGGTTTACTGGTAACAACAATTCGGAAATAGAACAGCCTGGTCGATTCTTTATTTGCGGTTAAATTTCCCTGGAAATAGTACTATCCTATTTACACACTTTTAGAATAACAAATTTTCTTAGTGATTATTTTTTATAAATATCACAGTTAGTCACAAATTATTGTCTCTGTCTATCCTTAAAGTTTGTTTTTTTTGTGCTGAATTATTTATCTAACAAACTTTTTACAATGTAACGATGGTGCAGACCTCGCAGGACAAAATCACTAGGACTGATTTCCTTGACAGCTGACAGCCTCTGTCCACTGATATGGACAGCCCACGGCAACACCATATTATGTTGTGTGATACAACCTTGCACCAGTTGCGTCGCAGGAGTTGTCGGATTTTTCAGTGAGTTACTGAATCCGCCTGTGGGACGCCATCTCCGGGTTGTTGTTTTTTTTATTCAGAGTTCCTTCTCTTAGAGGAGTTCCCATCCAAGGTTAACAGGTCCCATACACTCAAGATGCTGGGGATGTTTTGATTGACTTGGATTAAACTTCGGACCACAAGCTTAGGATTGACTTAGTTTACACCTCTCGACCACCCAGTACTCAGTAACCTTAGAACACAGGTTATCCAGCCTTTTTAAGTCGTCCACAAATTTATATAAAATCATGATTACTGTAACATTAACGATTTAAATTTAATATCAAAACATGTTTTCAAAGGTTAATTTCGGTTAAAAAACCGCACCGAAGCTATATTTAAAAAAAAAATGATTTCAATTAACGACGCAGATTACTTGATGAAAGTTGCAACTGAAAAACTTTAGACACAAATAAAGTGTGCCTTTTTTTTTAGCTGGCGACACCACTGATACGTATTTCAACCCCATTCATGCTAACATTAAAAAGCTGCGGAAACATTGCCCTTCTAATTTCATTATATCAGGCAGATAAATATTCTTTACATTGAGTAATATATTTTAGTACCTTCGTCAACAAAATACTATATATATATATATATTACTGACGGTCATCTTTCTTACCAAAAGAAGAAAGGTAAAAAAGACGTTCTGATAATTGCACTATTCTTGTGTTCCTAGAATTCAAATATCTGTAGGTAAAACATTCATCAGGTTCGTCAATACCACTGTTAAGAAATGGGTCCGTCATTCTGTGTAAAGCAATTAACAATAAAATTGTTAGGATAATAGATACAATTCCCGTGATGCTTCGGTGACATTATTTAAATGAGTGAATACTGGAGAACTACTAGATGGAAGTTGCATTGTTTAAGTGTAGGTCAATCAAAGTTATGTTTGTTTCACTCTTACCAGGGTAAGGAATGATGTTGCCCAAAGGAAACAAATACAAAGTGTGTACTCCTGATGTTTTCGTTATTTCTATGGAATTATTTGTTTCTCTAAGTTGACTACATTTTATTTTTAAATTCCAGTAATAGAAGAGCAAGAGAGAAATGATTTATAATTATTCATGATGAACAAATATAGGTTTGAAAAGATATATGTCCTTTATATAATTATTTATTGTGAATTTTATATAGAACAAAAACTTCCAATTTAGTTTTCATATGAACAAGGGTTGGAACAAGCGCATATTGAATGTATGCGTGTGAAAGGGCAGGACGGCATAGTCATGAAATAAAAAATGTTTATATGAAATGATTTATATTTCTATAACATAATAGTTAAAATCAAACACTTAGACTAGAAGCTATTCACAATATTGTTAGCTTTTGAAACTGTTTATTCTCACTATAGCAATCAGAAATAATATAATTATATACATTTATGAAGACATACTCATAGCCTAAAAATATATTTAAACAATTTAAGGTTTTAAAAAAAATAATTTATTTTTAAAAAATTACAGATTTCAATCCAGAGATATTAAGAGAAATGATACGATTAAGTATGAGCTGAAAAAAAATAGCTGAGAAACAAGATACATGGTAAATGATGTTTAAAGGCTTATACATACTTTGATAAATATATATATGTGTATGTATATCTATATATCTATCTCTATATCTATATATATATATATATATAAAAAAATAGATGAGAAACAATATATATTATAAATTATTTATAAATGTATATATACATTTATATATATATATATATGTATATATATATATATATATATATCTCTATATATATATATATATATATATATATATATATATATATATATATATATATATATATTTATATATGAAATATGAATATCATCTTCCTTGTACTCCTGCTGCCTAAACTGTATATGGCATGGCAAGTCGTTGCTTGAATTTTAGAGAACCCCCGCCCACTCCCCGAAACATTTCTGTTTTTGCCATTCCGTTATTCATATCATTTTTTATTATTTTTTAAAATGATCCAACATTTTTTACACATGCATCATTGGCTCACTCGAATTCTCTGGTTATGGTGAAAGTTTTTACTTAAATAACTTATTTGATATATATATATATATATATATATATATATATATATATTGCTGTATATTGAATGCAATATGCGTCTTCATAAAAATGTTAGTCAAACTTTTATCAGGCAATTTTAGCTATATATATATTTTGTCGTATGATAATTTTGTCGAGATACTAAAGATTCATTAATTCTATTTTTTAACAACGGCCACAACATTTCCATCGGAGGTTAATATTTACATGCGCCTTCTCTAAACAAAGGCAGATAAGATGATACTTTATATAGCCTATTCCTAAACCAGGATAGAAAAAAAAATCAAGTCTGCACAAATCACATATCTAATGTTTCGGTAATTTAACCCACCAAATATTGAAGAGGTGGCATGTATTCTTCTTTCATCCTGATTGATTGGCATATTGGTAGGCAACCATGTTCGTTAAAATTAGTTAACACCAGGTGCAACAAAATCCTTATGTGATTAATAAAAAAAAGGATCCTTATTTGAATTCTAAAGGACAATAACAGGAACAAGTGAGTAATAAAAGCGAAATTTTTATAACGTGCACGCATTTCAATTAACTAAAGTTTAATGTGTCTTATGTGGTTAATAAATAAATATTGTTACTTACAGACCTTATGAAATAGGCATTTGAAATGCAAGTGCATGTACTATCAAATTAACTGTTAGTAGAGTGGGGAACAGGTGGTAAAAGACTAAAGTAGCATCGCTGGTAAAAGAGAGATGCAACATTGCTGCAGAAAAGTGGGGAAAAAATAGCACTATAAAGGCTGAGCAGTATAGCTGAAACTTGATTGGGGCACCATGCATCTGTTAGAGGAGTAGGGTTAGGAAGTTTGTAGAGATGTTGTGCAACATTGATGTACTATAAATGGGCAACATAGCTGGTAGAAGCGTAGGGCCTTATAGTTGGTAGAGAAGTTGGGGAAACATTGTTGGCAGCCGATTTGGGGTATAATACCTGGCAGAGTATTGGTGGCAAAATAACAGATAGAGAAGTTGGGCAACATTCAAATGGGTCAAAATAGCTGTAGATAAAATTTTGAAAACATAACTGATAGAATAGTGGATGAACATTTCTGGTTGAAAAAGTGTTCCCCATAGCTGTGGAAAAAAAGAGCGAAATATTTAATGAAGACTATTGCAAGATAGCTGTAAAATGTGGTGCAACATTGAATACAGAAGAGTGGGGAAACACAACTGGCAGAAGGCAGAAGAGTGGGGCATAAACATTAATAAAGACATATATTCTATCTATAAATGTTAACTACTAATTGGTTTTAACGTGTTAACTAAAATTTTTGGATCTAGAAAAATAAAGACATTTATTACCAGAACCAGCTCCACTTCCGCACCAAGCGAAACAACATGCTACAAAGCTCAAAATGTCAGATCCTTGGCTAAACTAATGAACTTCTCAAATGGCATAATAAGCCGTCCTATAAAAATCAGGGACTTTAAAGTTGTTGTTTTTATTTTACGCTTCTTTTATTAGCCTTCATTCAAACAGGAGCGTTCTCAAAGATACGTTTAAAAATATGTTTTTAATATTTGCTTTATTATATTCCATAAATTTAAAAAAAAAAATATATATCATTTTAATTTTGAGAATTTGTTCAATATTTGTTAAAGGTAAACAGTGGTGGACCACTTGATGACTATATCATTTTCAATTGATTTGAATGGGACAAATTTTGAATTAAAGATTGTTTATTGCTAAGCCTAACATGCTGATTGCGCTTGAATTATACAATATGAATTATTTTGCCGCCGTAAAGCTAAAATAGTAAACATGTGATAGAAAAAATATTTTGAAAATTAACCTGAATATGTATCTGAAAAATTTGTTTAGGGCCTTAATATTATTTCATATTAATTGTTCAATGGCCCAACGCCTTGATATTTGCGAAAACTATTTAAATAAGACATCTTTTAAAATGTTATTTTGTTTTTTAATCATGATTTCCGATGGGGCCTTGATTGAAAATTAATAGAAAGGAGCTTAGTATAAAATACATTTTTACAATAAAGTGACTTTTATTGTATAAAAAGTTTTAGAAAATTATTGAATGGATAATTTTTTTGTTGATGTTTGTTGTTTTTTTCTTTCCCTATCTGTGTCATTTTTGTGTGATGTACTCTAATAGCACTTTAGAGCGTTTTTTTTTTTTTTTTTTTTTTTTTTTTTTTTTTTTTTTTTTTTTTTTTTTGTGTTGATTTCTCAGAAACACGCACGAACAGCACTATGTATAAATCTGTGTATAGAAATATATGTATGAGTTTTTCAGAAGCGTTTGAGGTGGATCTGTTATTAGATACATTTATGTAAAGTTGCAAGCTAAATGCCACGAGTTAAGTGGAACTTTAGAGAAAAAGATGTTATTGTCAGAAAATTCGAATGATGAATTCAGTAGTGGGGAAAATGTAACAATTTTTTTTTTATTTAATTAATTTTTTTTTTTTTAAATAGCAGAAAGCGTTAAGTGGTCATGGAAAAATGTGTGTAGTACGACAGTTGTGGAAATTTTGGATGTATTAAGATGCATGGCAATGTTGGTTTTAACATATATCATTATGAATATGTGAAACAACTAATGGTAGACAAGCTATATACTTAATAATTATGAACGAACCATTTGATTCGAACTAGTCCGTGGCATGACAAAGAAAAGTTATGCAATCGGAAATATTTGACCAGGCAAAATTTTTCACATGTATTAAAAGACCCTAGAAAAGTAAAGAAATCCGTATCATTTGAAGGAGTACGAGACAACGAAAGAAGATCGTAACACCAGACACAAAGCGAGAAAGACACTCTACGCATGTATGGTTTGGAAACGTAAAGAGAAAAGATATTGCATTTTGCTACAGGTAAGCGTCGCTCTGAGCTGCAATGAGTAACCTCATTTTGTAAAATATTTAGCACTGTTTGGTCGAAATTAAAATTATTTTCTTTTGTTCATAATTTTTTTGTATTAATCGTTACAATTTAATTGTGCTTGTTTGCTATTTCGTCTTCTTCATTTTTTCTGTAATAGAAAGCATATTTTGAAAAAAAATTGATCATAATTAAATTTAATTTAAATGACATTTTGGAACGTGTAGAGGATATGTTGTGGAATCGCTTGCGTATTGTAATAGAAGTTGTTATGTATAACGATTTACACGATTTCCCCGTGCCTGAATTTTTGGTTGACGTAAATTAGATACCTAGCAGACGGTAACGTTTGTTGTGGGCGTGGCCTATTCATTTGGTGTATCTTGTTTACAACCGTGATTCCCATTTAAACATGTTAGACTATCTCCTAGTATTCTGAAGAATGATCTCGATTTGTTCTAGAAAAGTAAAGGCATCTTCTAGACACGGTCGTTGACCCACATATATAAAGATTGACAGACACAGAGAGAGATTCAGATAGAAATTATTAACTTTACGAAACGTGTATTATTCTTTGTGTTCGTATGTACGTGTTTATTTCGCATTCATCCTTATTCATTGGCACATTATTCTAACTGTGTTAACTGTGTACCAGTACAAGGTCTACCATACTGTAAGTTGATGATTTATAATGATATTTCTTATGTTTTGTTATTGTATTAATACTTAATAAATCTTAATTAATTGTGACTGGCAACTGTTTTGGGCGTCGTATCTTTAATATTGTTGACTCTATGGTATCGTCCTTTATTAGGCACTGTTTACAACGAACCAATAAAATTAAAATAGGAGATTAATTTCTCATATTAGAAGCCAGTGCGTAAAAGACGTTTAATGTGTTATTGTTGTTCAGTGTAGGAGTGTAGATGATGTGCAATGCATGATTGGGTTTTGATGTTAAGAGTAGTTGGTTGGAAGTGGTTTGCTCATTGATATCATTATTGATAGGCAGGCTTTTACTCAAAGTTGTGATTATCGTTGCTTTGTTCAACAGTTGCGTGAATGAAGAGGAAAGAACAAAGGGACATGAGAGTGAGAATGAGAACAAAAAGAGATAGATAGAAAGGTGATGGCTAGCTTTGGATATATAGCTGAGAGTCGGATCCAATGGGATGGATCAGCTAGAAAAAGCTTTAATATCATTGAAAATTTAGAAATAACAAGTGCAATTTTACCTTTTAAAATGTATTTACTTAAACTATATCAAATAGTTACGATACATGAACATGCTTACGTAATAACTGAAAGGAGTTGCAAAAAAATATCCTTTTAACAAAAACACATATATCAAGAGTTGTATATGAAAAGTCTCAACGTACCGGCATCACATATTAAAATAGCAGTACATAATTATTATATATCAAAAGCGTAAAGCACTTTTTTTTCTTCAATGAGTTTGAGCAAACTCCAATCCTTTCCATCCATTACATAAACTATTTTTGTTACTTTGCCACCATACAGTGTTCAAATAAAACTCTTAACCTTCAAGCCTTTTCTGTTGTCTATAAACAGTTGAGCAGTAGCAGTGTGTCCATTTTGTGATGCATGCATTAATGCTGTCAAGCCATTTTTATCTTTTACCTCTGTATCGGCTCCTCTACTTAAAAGCATTGTCGCCGTCTCAGTATGTCCATTGTCACCGGCAAACATCAACGCGTTACAACCATTTTTATCGGTATCATTAATATTTATTCCTGTGTTGATGAGCATTTCAGCCATCTCCGTGTGTCCATTTTCACACGCCAACATTAAAGCATTTTTACCCAAATTATTTGTGTCTTTATGGTTTACACCGTTTTTCATAAGCAGTTCGACTGTAAATAAGTGTCCACTTTTTGATGCCAACATTAATAAAGTAGAACCATTTTTGTCTTTTTCCTTGCAATTGGCTCCTTTAAATATAAGATAATGAGCCGTTTCCAGGTGGTTATTTTGCATTGCATACAATAAAGCTGTATGTGCTTGTTTGTCTTTCTTATTAACATCCCCACTATTTTCTGCAAGAATGTCTACTATTTCTTGGTAGCCATTTTGTGACGCTAATATCAAAGCTGTTTGTCCTAAAAGATTTTCTGCATTAACATCGGCTTTATTTCTAATTAACTTTTTGACATTTTCAAAATGCATATTTTATGTTTCGTGCATTAAAGCGTTCATCCCATTTTGATCTTTCTCGTTACCACTAACTCCACAGTCTATCAGAATGTCAACAATCTCTTCTCTCTTTTTTTCTAGTGCATACATTAACGAAGTTTTGCCACTTTTATCTTTATCTTGAATATTAGCATTATTTTTAGTAAGCCAACTGCAAGTCTCTGCATGTCCACGTATTGAAGCCATCATTAAAGCGCTAACACCTTCATCATCTTTTGCATTAATATAAGAGCCCTTTTTTAAAAGCACAACTGCCGTCTCTGTTTGTCCGTTTTCACATGCATACATAAATGCATTTCGACCTATGTTGTTTATATCATTAACGCTTGCTCCCATTGCAATAATAGTTTCCACTGTTGACGTTAGTCCTTTTTCTGATGCAAACATTAAACAGGTCCAACCATCCTTGTTTTGTAGACTAACATAATTTGGAAAACTTCTTTGTTTAACCTTAGCTCCATTTGTTAGAAGCAAGTCAGCAGTTTCTTGATGATTATGTTTTAATGAATACATTAAAGCAGTCATTCCGTCTTTGTTTAATATATTAATATCCCCACTATTTTCGTAAAGCAGTTGAACAACTTCCGTGTAGCCATTTCGAGAGCTATGCATTAAAGCAGTCCTACCTACTGTATCGGTAGAGTTTACTTTAGCCCCAGCTTCTATAAGTTTTAGTGCAGCATCCAAATGTCTGTTTCGTGATGCAAGCATTAACGATGTAAATCCTTCGGTGTCAGAGTCATTAACATTAGCATCGAATTTTATTAGAGTATCAACAGTTTTAGTGTGTCCATTTAAGGACGCCAACATTAAAGCAGTGCGACCATACACGTTTTTTTCGTCTATATTGGAGCCTTTTATTAAATTTATATTTTCATCATCGTCTCCTTCACTATTTGTATCTTTTTTAACAGTTTGCTTCTTAATAAGAATTTGAACTGTTTTAGTGTGACCGTTTTGGGAAGCAAACATTAAGGCCGTCATACTGTCTTTATTTGTATCCTGTACATCAGCTCCTTTTTCTATCAGCAATTCAACAATAGTCGTGTGACCCCATTGGGATGCAAACATCAATGCATTTGTTCCAAATATGTTTTTATTCTTTATATTTGCGTTGTGTTCAATAATTATTTCAGCTACATCATTCAATCCATTTTGTGCAGCATACATTAGGGCTGTCTTACCTTCCTTGTCAATATCATTTGTGTTAGCTCCGTGTTTTATTAATGTTTTTGCTGTAAGAGAATGTTTATTTTTTAGAGCATACAGTAATGGGCTCATACCACGTTTATCTTTTTCATCAATTTTAGCTCCGTTTTTTATTATCTTTTCTACAATATCAGTACGTCCACTTTCTGAAGCCAAAATCAAAGCTGTTATTTGATCAACTGTTTTATCGTTCCAATCAGCTCCACGTTCAACAAGAACTTGAATAATGTCTATATGTTTATGTTTTAAAGCATACATAAGAGATGTCATACCTTTCCTGTCTCTCATTTTAATATCGGCTTTGTTTTCCATAAGCATTATAGCAATGTTAAAATGTCCACTTTGTGATGCTAACATTAAGGCGGTTACCCCATCGTCTTTGGTTGTATTAACATTTGCACGATTTTTCAAAAGAATTTCAGCAACATTACAATGTCCATTTAGAGATGCTAGCATCAAGCTGGTAAAACCATTAGCATTTTTCAGGTTTACCTCAGCTCCATTGCTTATAAGCATTTCTACTGTGTCTGCATGGCCATTTTCAGAAGCTTGAAATACAGCGTCAGACATTTCCTGCATTTTCTTTTCCAAAATGTTATTTTTTTTGTTATTCGTTTCAGAAGTTTCGTTTATTGCAAGACAAAAAGTTGATGCCTGAAGAAGAAGAATAAAAAATATATAAGAATAGAATAAATCATTTTTTTACTTACAGTTGCAATATATATATAATATGTACCACACATGTACAGTACAACTAAAATAAAAAACAGACAGATTCCTTAGAAGGTGCTGCCTTCACCTGTACAAATTGGATGTTGGGCATCATTGTAAATGAACTAATTCCTAACGGATATAATTTATACCTTGACCACCTTTGACATTGGCTTTCAAGATGCGGTAGATCAATTCTTTTATTTTTTTGTGCTCATGTGCTACTGGATTGGGGTGTGGGGGTGGTGTGGGGGGGGGGGGGGGGATTATTTGTGTGGAGCAGTCGGGAGTCTTCATTTAATTCAAAGAAAACTGTCATTCACGAAAATAATGACTGGAATGATCTTTTTGTAATATCAAATGTATATTAAAGGCTTTATGTCCTTAATAGTTCTGTTATTTTTGTTATTTTTTTTAGGGATGGGTAAAATTAAGTTTGTTTGACAATTGTTTTTAATAACAACTTTTGCTTGCGTGATCATTTTTATAAATGCTAAATTTATTAACAATTGATTCAATTTATTAAGTGAATAACTTGACTAAAATATATCCTTCAGTTTTTAGCCCTCTAACATTAACCAAAAAAAAAAAAAAAAAAAAAAAAAAAAAAAAAGAAAAAAAAAAAAAAAAAAAAAAAAAAAAAAAAAAAAAAAAAAAAAAAACTGGTACAAAAAGAGTAATAATTCGATCACAGTTTATAGCAATGAACAACAAAGCTAAATATTGGGGGAGTAAATTCATCATTAATAACTTTTTTTCCATAATTGATAGAAAGCGTATCTTTGTGTCATGATAACGCTAAAATGCGTCTCATTCCAAGTAACTTCCATTTGTATTTTACAGATATATATGAACATTGGATTCGGGGAAACTTTTTAATATCTGCCAAGCCATCACTGCATAGACAGAAATTTATAGAAATGAGCAGTGTATACGGGGCTTCGACGATTTGAATTTTAATACAATTTTATAATGAGTTTAAAAAAAAAAAAAAAAAAAAATTTACAATTTTCTAGAAGTAATTTTTCATACATATCATTAAAAAAAAAAATAATACGGGGCTTCGACGATTTTAATTTTAAAAAAATTTTATAATGAGTTTAAAAAAAAAAAAAAAAAAAAATTTACAATTTTCTAGAAGTAATTTTTCATACATGTCATTGAAAAAAAAAATAAGTATCAAAGATGCTAAGGAGTTAATGCCAAGTGAACAGGGATTGGATTCATGATACAATACTCATTTCGAATTTTCCCACAAAAACACTTAAAAATAAGTGAATGCTTAAGAGCCGTCATATTTCAGCTTGCCTTAATTCTTACATAAAAAAATAATTTTAATGTATCCAATTATATTTAGAATTATTTTTTATGATAAAAGTAAAATTAATAAGATTGAAAAAGCCGTTTATATATTTTCCAAAATTGTTTGTGTCTTTTTTTTCTTAGCAAGCCAAACAACATCCATTAAATGGCAAAAATATCTGAATGATTGTTTTATTTTGCTTAACATGTTGCATGTTAAAAACATACGGCCTTTTAAAATATATTACTCACATTAAAGTTCATGTTCCTTGATTCTCCTCCTTTAACAAAAAAATAAAATTAACACATTTATCATATGTAATAACTCTAAATCTGTATCATAATGGCATACACTTTATGTAATATTGTTGTTTTTAATCGCTCCTCAGTATGATTCACACAAAATAATAGTGTTTAAAGTCGCAAGAAAAGAAAACCATATATATATGAGTTTGTTGAATTTTGAGGATACAATTGTTTTGATAGTAGAAAGTTTGGTTTGAGGTTTAAGTGGAAGATGTTGTGTACATATGTTTTCCATCAGGGTAAACTATCACAGAAGACGAAACTGTTGTGTACCATAAATACGACATGATTAACGATGGCTTGCAGAGCTAGATGAGTAGGTAGTCAGTAGTGAATGAAAACTTATTTGGGGATAGATAGAATAACTTCTATGGAAGGCTACGTTGTTACGTAAAATACAAATTAATAAAACATAGCCAAATATAAAAGCAAGGGTTCACAGTAAACGGTAGATAAGAGCAAGCATGCTTTCCATCAATATAGCCTTCCCAGGAGACGAGATGTTTATGTAACACAAATACAAAATCATGAACAATGACTTGCAACTTCAAATAAACGACTTCCTATACCCACCATCAGATTAGTTCTACCTTAGTCAGTTGTAACTTTTTATGCTATATCCCTAACTAAAGCAAATGGAAATACTACATACAACAATATGCGAATTTTGTTTAATCATTCAATTAAATGTCATTATCTCTACCGACAAATAACCCCCACACTGAAGCACTGGCATATTCACCACACTATTTTCCTCCCGCAATAAGCTGTTTTTTGTTTTTTTTTTATTTTTGTGTGGTCTACATCTCATTCATACATTTATAAATTAAAGGTAATTTACCACATTCCACCACCCCGTAGTGAAACATGCATATATTTGCATCTATAAATACATATATTTGTTTGTAACATATGTATGTATACATTACCTGTTAGATTTAGGAGCTCTGCTTCCGCATTATCGTTTTTACTCGATGCTATGGAAGGAAGATAGCATAAATGATTATAATATTGGATTTAACATACGTATATGCCATTGTTGTGGAAATGCGTATTTAAATAAGATTAGATGGTATGTTGCAAAAGAACCATATGACAGCTCATAGATAGGTCTTTAGTAGGGCAGAACCTGCGTCTAACTACTGCATCAAATAAATCAGACCGTGACCGAAGCCTCCCTATTATGGCATAAGACGCCAAGGGATTGAATGTGCGTTGTTTACTTTTTTCTTTTAAAATACAATATATAACATGTTTAAAGTCATGTGAGTGTGTTTTTTTTTCCCTTCTTTTAATTTCAACTAATATCAAAACGTGTCAGGTAATCGAACAATGAAAACTATTTAGATAAAACGGATTTTTTTAAAATTCACTTGCTGGGAGATAATTTTGCTTGTATATTTTGAAGGGCAATGCAAAAACACTTCTGAGAGAGTTGTACTGGCTGCCGGTGCGTGCTCGCATAGAGTACAAAATCGCAACTTTGTGCTACCGCTGCTTACATGACCTGGCGCCGTCCTATCTGAAAGAGCTGCTGACGCCTTATGTACCCACTAGAGAGCTCCGCTCATCCGATAGTGGCAAACTCTCGACACCACGTGTTTGCCTTGAGACTTACGGAAAGCGCACTTTCGCGTTTGCTGGTCCAACAATTTGGAACGCCCTTCCACTCGATCTCAGAAACAACCAGACACTGGAGTCCTTTAAAACCGATTTAAAGACACATCTATTTCGCAAACACCTTCTGGGATGATTGTCTACCATATCTTCCATTTAATGCATATTAGCTGAGTTGCTTATGTTTGAAATGGCAAGAAAGGCTTTGTCATTGTATGCTTGTAATTAGTTTTTGCAGTGTTGCGTTTGTTTTAAATGTGGTAAATTATAGATTTGTTTTTTGTTGATTTTGTACCGCGCTTCGAGCCTTTGGGGATGAAGTTTATTTTTTAAATTAACTTTAGTATTATTATTATTATTATTATTCACGAACTACTAAAACTTAAACATTTTGCATCATTCTATTAAAACTTAAAATAAATATGTGAAAATATAAGGGTTCTCAAATTATACTAAATAAACATTAATGAATTTTCATGTTTTTGGGAAGTTGGTAAGAATCGATATGAAACATCTGAGGAAAAAAAAAACTCGAATTTACCTGATCTCCTCTTGTTTGTGTTTACTTTAAAGACGCTGTGAAAATAAACTTTTAAATTAAAAAAAAAAAAATACATTCAGATTTTTTATATTTAATAAATAAAACAAAAAAAATAAAAGAAATAACAATTTGTAGATTGTTTTTTTATCAAGACAATGGAAAACTTAAATTAAGAATTCGACACATTCAGCTTTTAGATGGATTGATAAATAGTTGCATGACTGGATGGGTTGTTTACCAAATGTTTGGATTAATGAGTGCAAAGGTTTAAGTAAAGAAAAGACAGACAGGCAAGCAACAAATGGAGATATGCAGATAATTAAGTAATTAGATAATCGATGAACTATCAATTACCTGTAAATCGCAAACAACAAAACTTGTGCTGTTGGTATTCCAGTTATTAGAAGTATTAGAATAAATATTTTCTGATGCTGACCACCTGTTTTTTTTTTTAAATTAAGAACAATTAATGGAAAATTGGCTTATAATTATTAAGTGTTGCCTAGTCTGTGTGTAAATTGAGCCTATAAAAAAAGGATAGCAAACATTTTTACCTCCAAAAATCATTTTCAAAAAGTATTTTGAGGATGCTGTAAATTGAGTTGCATTTTTTAAAAGATTTCCCAAGCATCTTAATTTCACTTTCTAATGTTCATAGTGTCTGAATATTGGATGATTTAAACAGGATATTTAAATAGTATCCCTTAAGTAAAGTGTCTTATTTTGTTCGTTTAAATCTGTCAGCTAACATAAAATAGATTTGTTAACAAACAACAATTAAAGGTACTTACGTCTTGTGACAGTACACTCCACATTATTATATCCAAAGTCAAGTCGACAGAGTGCATATTTTATTTTGATTTTGAGCGTGATGTCTTGATATAAAAACCTTTTGAAGACAGCTCGGTTAGCCCCTACTACTACCTTGGTAGAATCATTGGAGGATGTTTCTACTAAACAAGGGGATGCTTGACCCAAACAAACATATTCTATAATTAAATCAACATTATCAATAACAAGGCTGCAATAAGTTTTGTCGGTAATGTTATTTTCATTTATTGTCAATTGTCCTGTGACATCTGTTGGTTCTGGAAGAAAAATCAGGTCAAAAGATGTGATTAATATAGAACGCTATAACTTAAATATTTATAAACAAAATCCTGATCCAGAGGTCATTTGGTCATCGGCGTTTTGGGTTCAGTTATTTGATTAAATGACTAAAATAAAGTTAAGAAGCGAGGTTAGGCGTACGTTGAATATTTTTCGTAGAACAATAAGGCATGTCTTCTTTATTATTAATTAAATAAATTTTCGAAAAATAATATAGGTGCCTATAGTTAAGATATTTAAAATGTGCATTTATTTATCACTGTCATTAAAATAATTTGTATTTTGTATTTGTAAATGTTAAAATTATTTCTTAAATTATTTTTATTTTGAATAAACTGTATCAATAATAAAATAGAAAGAAACGTAGCAAAATACAAGATTACTTACCAACTATTTTGGGTAATGTCAGGTGATCACTAGCAATTTCAGTTTGATTATAATGTTTTATGACACCTCTTATAGAGGCTTCACTCAAAAGTGGGATCACTTCTGAATTTATTGATATGTTATATGCGTCATCAGAAATTTTTGAACAGTGATAATAGTTTCCAGTCTTCTTATTTTCTGTACATTCTGACTTAACGTCCACAGAAAATAACTAGGGAATAAATTAACAATAATTGTACAATAATTTTTTTTAAATATTATAATTGTACTTCTAATTGTAATTGCTTAGTTTAATAAAACAAAATTCTATTTCAGATCCAAACTATGTTTTAAAAGTTTTTTTAAATATTTTTGTATGGCAACTTTTAACTCATTTAAATCAGCTAATATACAATGGGCGCAATTGCATTATCTTACCCACTATCTATCAATAGATTAGAGATTAAAAAAACTTACAAGTTTGTATTCGTTGCTGATTTTTTGCCTAATGTCAAATCTCACAATTGAGCTATTCTTTAACTCATTTCTGAATTTAACAGTCGTATTTAAGAATAGCCGGTCAATGTTGCTTAGTAAACCAGAAGTGCATTTAGTGTTGCTGTCTGCTTGTCGTATCTCAAACATTTTTATTTCCTGGCCCAAAGAGAAATCTGTTAATTAAAAAAGAATGATAATCAAGCATCACTATATAAATACATTAATTCATTTACTTAAAGGTTTTGTACATAATGTGTTAAAAAATTTCACGATCTATTTTAAGCTAAAAGCACACTTAATTGCATAGTAAAACATACTTTGATTTTAGGGCAATTCATAATATTTTGCCCGTAGAGTAGTTTGTGAATAGTTTGACTACAGTCCAAGCTTAGTTAAACCGTGATAAATAGTAAATAATTTACTGAACTGATTGAGTTGCAGTAATTCCCGTTGAACAAGTTTGCCTCGTATAGATAAAGGGTTGTGCCGCAGCTAACCGTTGTGCCAGTAGTTTAAATAACATTATTATGTCCATGAGCTAACTATAATACTTCTTAAGAAATAAAACGTCTATACTGCTAAGGTATTTTAACTCATTAGTATGTTGATAGTACTATTCTTATTTATTAGTTCAATAAATTATATACTATAGTTTTGGAAGTGCCCCTGTTTGTTGATTAATTCTTAAAACTAGTTTTTATTTTATTTACAAAGCAAGCACAAAATGTAACTAACATTACAGAAAATTACTGTATTTTTTTCTTGCCATCTGGACATTTATTATCACTAAATACAAAGACATTGGCGTGTTGATTTACTACGGAATGCGAAACGTAAATGTTCACCGTGCACATATCCTCGCTGTAAACAGTAGATTTTAAAACATATACCGAATAAGAGCTGCTGCAGACTCCTGCAAAAGTAGACACTTTTCTTGGGCAAAGCTGGCAGTGTTTATGAAGCATCTTGACAGTTGAACACACATTCCTTTAACATTCCACTCTAGTAGACATCAGAAGGCTTAAGATCAGGGTTAGGGACACGGGTATGGTAAATTGGTACAACGTGATATGATGCGTCGAGGAAAGATTTTCTGCAGTATGGCAATAGATTCTCAAGCTGTAACGCTGGTCACCCCGTCCAGTTGATTAATCTCTCTATCCATGTCAAGGTTTTCTTGCACGACATAAACTTCTCAAATTCCTGAAGAAATAGCTCGATCATCATGCCCCAGTAGCATTCTTGATTGACTGTAAGAACATTGATCTTCCCATCTTTAAAACAATAGCGGCTTACTATACCATTTTTTGAAAGGACACATCATTTCGTCACGTATACTGTTAGGGGTTTTCTGGACGTTAAAATCCAAGGAAGTGAGTTGGCTAGCGATTAATTGAGCCATCAAATTACATGTAACTTTCGTTCAAAAACCAAATATTCCTTAAAAGGTATGGATCCTTAATTTTTTTTGCAAAAAATTATATAAAATACATCATCCTGACTCGTATATCTAGCTGTGACAAGCGTTGTTCAATATTAATCCGGTAGAAATTCACTTATTTTTTAAGGTATACCACTGATGTACACTTTCAAAGATTGTCGTAGAATTCATCGTAGGGCGGAATGAACAATGTGCTCTTGAACGCGTGTGGGATTCTCCATCATCGAAATATTTACTGGCTTATCAGACTTATTCTTAAGTTTAGACATTACACTTCCAGAATGGAAAATGTCTTAATAATACAGCATAGCAGTGTTATTTGGTGATGTCTTATAAATATCTTTTCGGAATTATTATCCCCTTTGTTTGTTCAAACTCTTGCCATCTTCAACCAATTACGTAAGGGCGAAAATACTTACTATTTTCCTCATTACATAGAACATTTTCTAAAAACTTCTAAAAAAAAAACAACTCTATCACGTCTCACGATTTTTATTTTAAAAAAAGACCAACAAAATGTAATGTGTTTTTCTTTAGTGTAAAATATTTGTCTGACCCTGACCCTAAAGATTGTATGCTCATAACACTCCACTTATTGTTCCCGGAAGGAATAAAAATATATGGTTCACAGTTGCCTTTGAGCTAACCTCTCTCGTTGGGACTAAACCATGTTCAAGAACTTTTTTTCAGAGTTTGCTCTGCAGTCTGGAAACGAAACACACTGGCTCGCTAAATAATTCTTTACCATCCACGAGGGCTTCATGTGTGTTAGGCTAAATGGGATCTATGTTGTTGTTTGCCGAAGATACCGTGGCTGTTATATATTTGAGAAGGGAATACTACTATCTCATAGATTCAGTTAACAGCTTTTCAATATAGAACACAACCAGCCTCCCCCGGTCTCATCCCATTTCAAAAGAGGTAAATACACAGGGGCATTTCAGAAGTGTGAATCCTGGCTTCATTTTTGCATCATTACAACATTGAGAGTGAAGAATTAAAACATATGTGTTAAGCTTTTTGCCGCAATATCACCATATGAAATTAATCACATGCTTATTTATTAGTGATCCTTAATATGCCTTCATTTATATTCTCTTTTTTTTTTTTATTTTACATTGACGATAATTCTTTTTCTTTTAACGTCATATGAAGTACCCCACACAAATATGGGAAGCACGTTTTGCTTCTTTGGCAACTCAGCTTACGTATTTAACTATAACTTAAGTCACTTTCTATTCTGAACTGCATTGACTTTATTGAGATCTTTGGAAACATAACTTTTATTATTTAATGTAAAAATATGCGTTTTTTGTTTTCCATTTTTTGCCAAGGAAAGCATCTCGACAAAACGTCAGATTAATCATCTTATTTTTTTCCTTCTTTTTTTGGAAAAAAAAAGGGGGGGGGGGGGGCTAAAAAAAAATTGAAAAAAAAAAAAAAAAAAAAGGGAAAAAAAAGGGGGGGGGGGGGGTCTAAACATAAATTGTTCTTTTATTTATTTATTTTAAATGTTTCAAATATACAAAATCTTAGCGTATTCTACAATATTGCGTTTTGGTTGAACTTTGGAATTAAATCTGAACTCGTTATTTTGAGAAACACGTATTTAGTTATTTTGTTTTTAATCAACAACTTACTGTTCAGTATTACTAAAAGGATGCATATCTTCATTTTTAGGCGGCATGTAGATTCTGTATTTGTCAAAGTGTCTGGAAACAAACAAGATAAAGGAAATTAATTGGTTAATAAATACTGTTTTTCTAGCTGCGCTGCTAAAGTTAATATTGGCTTTCTTAATGTACCGCTTTGCTTAAATCACTTCATTTTATTGATCTTAGCATTGCTTAGTCCATGAAGCTATTTTTTAAGGACTATTTAAATACTTTTACAATAATGTTGTTTTTTTAATCGTACAAAAACATTTTATTAATTTCGTACTTATTTTTTTTTAAATAATGGCATGTATATATTGAGCCTGTGAGGACGTATTTTTACACACTTTTACAGCTATGAATTTTTTCTATTTATAAATATATATATATTTTTTATAGGTTGAATAAAATAATTTTTTTTACATGAAATAAAGACTAAAAAGTATCTTTTAACAGGCTGTTAACAAATGATTCGAACAAAGCTAAATAATGTATAGTTTTCGATTAGGCCTATTAGGGTAGACATACACGTATCTTGAATTTTAAGCTGTTTTATTTTAATATGACTTTTTTTTTTTTTAATAATTACAAACTTTAATGATTGTTCATAAGTAATCAAGAAAAGACATCCTGCAAAGAAAAAGACAAATTACTTTCAAACAGATGAATCCACTTTGTTTGCAATGGTCTTTGATAGAATAAAATGTATGATTCAACTATGTGACAAGTGGAAATATTTTTAAAAAAATAAAGACTTGGTTTGCTACGATCTTTGATAGAATGAAAAGTATGATTAAACTATATGACAAGTGAAAGTATCTTAAAAATAAGGACCTTCGTTTTTGGGAAATCTAAACTGCAGCAAATGAGTCAAAATTATAAGCTCATAAATAAACGATAATAATTGCCTTTAATGTGAATATATTTATTGATATTCATGAGTTGTAGTCAAAACAATGATCAGATTATTTAGCAAAATTCTTTGTATGTACGTGCGCCCCAAAAATGTAGACAGGTAACTGAATCCTTAAGATTTGACAGAGATTACCCCTAACATGGTCCCTATGTAACTTCCCATTTAATATTTAGAGACGGAAGTTTGAGAATTGGACTTCATTAAGATTGCCTTTGATATTAACCCTGAAGTTTTCTGACAAGGATTGGACGATTAAAATGGACGTTGACCTCATCAGCGCGCATTCTAGAGGAAATACTGCTATTGTCATCATGGAGTCATCTGCTAGAATCATTTTGAGGCATTTACTTCTCCTAATGTCTTGAAGAGCGATGTCTGATCTGAATTAAATTGTTTTGAAATGTTTCACAATGTAGTATCGGGGACGTTTAAGTAGAACTTCGGTTATATGGTAGATAGAACTTTCTTTCCCCCGTCCAAGAATTTTGTTTATATAAATAAAGAAATCTAGATTTCTATTCTTTTGCTTCCGCTATCAAGCAACATCTTAGTCAAAAATGTGTTTCTTTTGCTTTCAATAGAGTCAAGATATAAAAACAAAAACGAATCTGAACTAACACTACTAACCTCTTCATGATAGTGATACACTGAGGAGTTCACTAAGTTTTTACACGTCTTCAAGAACTGATTGATAAATTTTAAATACGAAGTAAAACATATTTTTGATAGTTACGATTTACATTGACTAAGTTTAGAGGCCGATCTAATAAACTTTTTGTTGTACTTCAAAATGATACTAAGTTTTCTAGGATAAAGAGACTTCAAAATGACATCAATGCGTAATATAGCAAAGATTTACTGAAATAATTTGAAACACCGAACATGTATACGAATGGAAAAAATATGATAATTTATATGATAATGATAATAATAATGCCCTCAAATTTATATCGATTCCCCCAAAAATATTAACTATATTTTCAATATGGGACGAGCTATAGTACACGTTAGAAACTATAAATGTTTTTTTTTTTCCTTTTATTGTGTACATCAAGTTTTGTCACAGCAAAAAGGTCTTAATAAATGTTTGTGTATATACATGACATTAGTTCATAATGTTACGCGTTTGTTTTATTCACAAAAGAGGAAACGATCGCAACTCTCATCGACTGCAGTAACAATGTGAAAAATGAAACACGTAACACCATTGTAGTCAACCCTAATAAAAACATGCATTGGGCCAGTTAATCAAAGTTGATTATTTCAAAAGGGGGATAATAATGGCACAGAGCATCGATTTGATTTTTTAAGTGTTTAATTTCTAAGACATGTGTATATTGATACGTGCCAAGCACGTGGTTACTTTTTCTTTTCGAATAATTTGACAGTTTTAATAGTTGACATTTTTAGTTCTGGTTGAATCCTATGAATGATTTCTTTCCAGTCGCCTTCTCGAAAATGTGTTTTTACTCTACAATGGAAAACAAAATAAAATTGTGAGAATTTTGCATTATTTCTTTTTTCCTACGTGTAGTAGGAAATAATTTTATTTTTATTTTAGGAGAAGATGGTGGTTTAGCAATTTTGTCAATTATAAAAATTAATTTTACGTATTAAAAATAACCTACGTGGAGTTACTTGTTGCGTAGAGCATATCATTAACTTTCAAATATGGTAATTGTGGTTTCTAAATCGTGTAAATAATTATGTATTTAAAATGTACAATATATATTAGATTATATTTGTATTAGGTATAGCAAGGTCTTTTCTGATTTAGAAAAAAATTTTTTTATGGGTAATCCTTTATGTTAATTATTATATTTGCTTTTAAATCAAGGTAATGCTTTGCAGCTACAATTTTTTAATTAAATAACAAACGAATTTTTTTTTTACTAAATAAAGTGCGGGTTTATTTCAGACAGTTTATTTTCTGCAAAATAAGTATTTTAGAGAATGTAAGCAATGTGAAATTAATGTCATGCCATTAAGTGTAGACGATCTATGAAATAACTGTTTATTGATATCATGTTAATGGAACTATTTGAATTATTAAAGGTATTTGATATTATATGAACTTAGAGTGCTAAAGTAAACAGCTCAATCTAGAAATGGAAACTTGAAATGTGCAGATAAAATTCGTGAAACCGTTTTTGTCTTCTTTCCAGGTAAGGATCGATACCATCGGAGGGCTACTTTAAATTTTTCTACACGTGTCCAATTGCAGTTTTACTGATATCAAATATAAAGCTTCCAGCATTAACAAGTGTTTCTTTAATTTAAAGAAATAATATAGGAAAGTAATTTATATTTGTTAATTGTAAATTAGTAGTGCTTTCAGAAGTGGTTGAAGAAAATGTTTATACCTCTACACCTATCTAAATGTAAACCTAATAAAACGTAATTTTCTTTTATTCTGCACCTTCCACTAATACGTGTCACAATGTAACAATACATTTGAAAATATTAAGCACATGGAAATTGAAAGCTTTTTTTCTTCTTTAATGTTAAAGGCTTCTTGCCGACACGCTTATCATGTTTCTTGTCTTTTTTCAGGTTTTCTATTACCCTGTGCTTCGACCTCATTTCTTATCTCCTATTGTGACACAAAAAATCGATTGAAAGTCACTATATTGAGCGGCAATGTGTTGTACTGAGCAACCTTCTGACAGTGCTCTACCGCGGCGCACATATTGTTTTCGACGTGTGTGCCGTGTTAAAAATTGATCTGTGCTATGTGTACAGTGTTAACCTAGATATAGTTCATCATGAGAATGTCCTTCAGTTGCGGTGTTACCAATCAACCGTGACAGAGACCAGCCCTCAATCCTCCTTTGTTGTTATTCCATTATACACTGAGTTGCACTACTAGTAAATGATTTCTTGTTTAATGATAATATAACAACAATTAAACTCGGATATCAAAATATACAAATACAAATGAATAAACACTTTTAAAATATAAGTAAGACAGGTGTACTAAGGCTTCAATCATTATTTTTTAAAATTGATTTTAAAATTGATGTCTCGTCGAATTTTCATGTGTCCTGTCTGCTGAGTAAGGCTCTTAGCCAAATCCCTCTTACCTTATTGTCTTATCATTTGACGTAAATTTCCACATAACTTTTTTATATTATTTCCTTCACACAGCTTGAAGGAAGTCCTTCATTTACTATACATTCAAATATTAAAATTATTATTTACGTAGCTATGCGGTTGTTTTTTTTTTTTTTTTTTTTCGGATTGATTTGAGTGTGTGTATGTGTGTGTGTTTATGTCTGTGTGTGTCTGTGTGAATCTCTCTATGTGTGTGTGTGTGTGTGGTTAAAATGCACAATGCTCTAAATAATAAAATAAATAAATAATAAATTGAAGTTTAAATATTTGTTATTCTTTTTTTTTTCATGACAGATCCATTTCCTTTTTATCGTAATTTATGTTAAAATTACTCCCTTAATATATTTGCCATTTTTTATACTTTAATAACATCATAAAAGAATAACATTGATACATATCTGGACATTATGTATTGTTAACCAAAACACGATGTAGAATGATCTAGATTATATGCTTAACGTGCTTGGCATTCGTATTTTCACCAAATTAAACTAAAATCTCTGTTTTTCAAACGTGATCCCCGTGCCTAAATAAATAAACCTCATCGTTTTGCACACATAACCAACGTATTTAGAAATTCCAATTGAAAAGTATGAAATATGTTGACATTAAAATTTACAAGATACCTCTTCAACTTAAAGGTTTCATGAACGACAGATATTTTACGTCAATATTATTTGTTACGACTAATATTTTCGACTTTAGAAAGGTTTAAATAATTGAAATTTATAGAAGCAAACTTACCTATTAATATCAGTTAATATCATTAAATGGTGCATTAATTATAAGATTTAAAATCCATTAGTAACAATTAAGCTTTATGTGTGGGCCCCTATTTGAAGAAATTATTATTCTAACCAACATTCTGACGGATATGAAGTGCATGAAAATTGATATCATAGCGGGAATACCCAAAATAGTTTTATCAAATCAAAAGAAGCGTTTCTAAAACCGAGTGTGATTTTAACCAATTGTTTGAAAATTAAATCTACTTTTATTTTCAAAATATGTTAGAAAACTGCTATCCGACAAAAAATATTATGTAACATAACAATCACCCGTTAAGATAAAAAAAAAAAGGATGGAACTCTAGAGCTTTGTTTACTTATTTATTCATATGAAATAACATTTTAAAATACAAAAACAAAACAAGATATTATTTGTTCTTAAAAAATTATAATAATTTTCTGTCCAATGTGAAACAACAAAAATGATTCAAAACATTCATACATTTTTATTCATAAGCATTTTAAAAATTGAACAGATTTCTCTAAAAGCGAGAAAGAAATAGTAGGCCCCAAAAAATGAATGTTGTAAAAGACAATAGTTCTTTTATGACTTCATATAATTAAGAAAAACAAAAAACATTTTTAGAAGTTAAATAATACTATTAATCACGTCATTTTAAAATAATTCATATGATCTTAATCTCAATGCAATTCAATATATATGTTAGGAAGAAAATTGTATCCGTTAAATGATCATAAACGACTTATTGCACTTAATAAAAAGAAGATAGGAAATAATAAAGTCAACTGAATATCAAAATGAAATAAAATCAATAAAAAGCAAGATAACATAGTAGAGATTTTCTGTAAAGACAGATTGAATACAAAGAGAATGACCAGTAAAAGAGTTATACATATCAGCCATAAATGTTAACCTTTGAGAACAAGGTCACATCAAATATGAACAATATGGTTTTTGATATATAATTTTCAGAAAAGTATATGGAAATACTGTAAGCATATTTTAATGAAGACATTAATGATTATTTTTCTTTATCATTGTATAATGCTGATATGTGTATAATATTATTATTGATTTATTTGTCCTAAAGATATTAACCTAAAACATAAAAAGTAATTTTAAAAAAAAAAGTAATTTATGTTTAACACAAATGTGTGTTCGCAAGACTATGTTTTAACAATTAAGTATATAGTTCAACAGTCACAACATGGATTTAATGTATTTCGTGTTAAGCTGAAATATGTTAATTAAACATGAATAGAAAAAAATATGGCTATTTTAAAGAAAACAAAATACAAACAATTCATACTTAAATACAAAGGAAAACATTTTTCAACAGGTATGACGATTTTTAACCAAAAAATATTGAAAACAATATGGAATTATTTAAATAATGCATATGTATACGCAGGTCACTTAAACACAATAACATATTAAATACATCAACATTAGTGCCCAAGTTGTTTATAAAATAATTAAATAAATATAAACTAAAAACATAAAAATTGCTTCCGAAAGGATATAATTTATACTTCTGTTTTACTGTCAAATGATGACCTTCATTGAACTCAACTTTCTATGACAAAGTATATAACATACACATTTTAAAACAAATAAATGGTATCAGGCTTTTTATATTAAAATAAATATTGAACAAGAAACTTTCTTACAATTATTTTTTAAAAAAATGTGCTCTATCAATGCTTCTAATTTAATACCAAAATCACATTTTGTATTTTTAGAAAAAAACTTTTGCAATTAGTGGATCAAACTGAAATAATTGTGTACGATTTTTAAAGATAATTCTGCCAGAGAAATAACACTTATTATTTTTTTTTAAACCTCCAACAAATATGCCTATAAACTGCCTAGTATTTTTCTGCGGTAGCAATTAAAGGTCATGCCATAATCTTTGGGTGGCTTTTAAAGGCTCCCTGTAAGTTTTCTGTTTTTGCTATTCTGCTATCAACAGTGTTTTTCCACATCAAAACATTAAACTTAAACCTCTTAAATAAATGAGTCCTTCTGCACTATCACTGATACTATCGGGGGTTGCATGCTCTACTTAAACCTTGGATTTCAAATGCTTAGCTATTGGATATTATTTTCTCTCACTTCGTCACACGGACTAGTGCAACTGAGGCCAATACACCAAATACTGAATATCTTTTTGTAAGCTATAATGTTATTATATCTCATTACAACATATGGGGTAATGGATACACAAAATTCAATTCGCTGAAGAAAACAAACTACTTCCTATAACGAAACATAAAGCCAAATTCATCAACACACAAAACAAAATGCACTGTGTGTATCCTACAACAGTCATAAATCCACCGTAACAAAAAAAAAAACCAAAAAACAAAATACACGTCATTTCCCTTTACCCAAATACGTAACAACTATTTCACACAACCTATACAGCTACACATATAATCTCTACACTAAACATCTTTTCCATACCAACATATCCACATTGATTATCATACCCTTGACAGTCATGCATCCTTCTTTCATTCTTGTTGTCTGACATAATATTGAAGACAAACATATTTGTTGAATCATTTAAACATTTTCTTATTCAGTTTGAAAGTTCAGTAAAAAAAATCACTCATTTGGTATAAATTATAAATTGCTAATTATCCCGGGAGAACAATTTAATTTCTTGTCTTTGGGTAAGAATGGCAGTTAATACTTTCTTATACTTTAATAAAATTTAAATTTTATTCTAATCGCAAATACAATGTTTTTCAAAGATCATTGTCCTCAATTTCTTTACATTGTGAGCTATACAGACATGCAGGATTTACACTTTGCTAGATGTGGTAGCCTTTAAACGTTGGCACATGACTCAAAATCCGACAGCCAACTAGAAGCAGACATCTTTTTTTTTTTAATTACATGATATTGACAAGACCAGTTTAAGAGCCAGTAAAGTGGTGACTCTTAATTTCAGGCAAATTCTATTCCATTTATTAACTGGATTATATTATATGCATATATTTTTCACAAAATATGAGATTACCACGACGTAGCTTGATCACAAAGCATTTTTTTTCTTATGTTTATTGTTGGCCTAAATACCCGAACAGAAATTCAAGAAAAGTTATTTTAAAACAGAGTATTACTTAAAATTCTTGTTATATGCTACTTTTACACTTGGCTGCTTTACATTTTAAGATTCATGATACTTAATTTTCATTTATATATATTTTTTTTTTCAAGAAACATTTGAGCAGTTACTGTATATCCATTTTGTGATGCATACAGTAAACCCGTTTGCCATTTGTCTCATTATCAGCTGATTTATGTACTGGTTTTTCAACTGTCTAGGCATGTCAATTTTCTTCACCAAAGAACAAATTGTTCAATCTAGTTTATAGATGTTCTTCTCTATCGTGTCACCATTTAATGTTCAATTAACAGTTTCTAAATTCAAACTCTGCCGGAAATCAATAAAGAGTTGAGCAGTAGCAGTGTGTCCATTTTGAGATGCATGCATCAATGCTGTCATTCCTTTTTTATCTTTTACATCTGTATCTGCTCCTCTATTTATAAGCCATTTAGCCGTCTCAGTATGTCCATTGTCACATGCAAACATCAAAGCGTTATAGCCATTTTTATCGAGGTCTTTAATATTAATTCCTTTGTTGATGAGGATCTCAGCTATCTCAGTGTGTCCATTTTCACACGCAAACATCAAAGCGTTACAACCATTTCTGTCCATGTCTTTAATATTGATTCCTTTTTTTTGGAGCATTTCAGCCATCTCCCTGTGTCCATTTTTGCATGCCAACATTAAAGCATTTTCTCCAAAATCATTTCTGTCCTTCGTGTTTACACCATTTTTCAGCAGCATTTCGACTGTGAATTTGTGTCCATTTTGTGATGCCAACATCAATAATGTACAGCCATTTTTGTCTTTTTCCTTGCAATCTGCTCCTTTGAATATAAGTTTTTGAGCCGTCTCAGTGTGGTTATTTTGTAATGCGTACATTAAGGCTGAGTGCCCTTCTTTGTCCTTTTTATTTACTTCTGAACCATTTTCTAAAAGAATGTTTACAATGTCCGTGCATCCATTTTCCGATGCTAATATGAGGGCAGTTTGTCCTAAACTGTTTACTTCTCTAACATCAGCTTTATGTTTTATTAGCTTTTCGACATTTTCAATATGCATATTTTTCGTTTCATGCATTAATGCGTTCATTCCATTTTGATCTTTCTCGTTACCACTAACTCCACAGTCTATTAGTATTTTTACAACACCTTCATTTTTATTTTCTATTGCATACATTAAAGCTGTTTTACCACTGTTATCTTTATCTTGAATATTAGCTTTATTTTCAATAAGCCATCGGCAAGTCTCTGCATGTCCGTGTATTGATGCCAACATTAAAGCATTCAGACCATCTTTATCCTTTTTATTAATATTCGTACCATTTTTTAAAAGCAAAGCTGCCGTCTCCGTATGTCCATTTTGACATGCATACATAAAGGCATTTCGACCTAAGTTGTTTATATTATCAAGTCTTGCTCCTTTTTTAATAAAAGTGTTCACTGTTGAAGTTAGTCCTTTTTCTGATGCAAACATTAGACAGGTCCAACCATCCTTGTTGTGCAGACTAAAATTCAATTGTTTAACCTTAGTTTCATTTTTGAGAAGGAATTCAGCAGTTTCTTGATGATTGTTTTTTAAAGCATACATCAAAGCCGTCATACCTTCCTCATCTTTTTTGTTAAAGTCCCCATTATTTTCGTAAAGCAGTCGAACAACTTCTGTGTGGCCATTTTGAGAGCTATACATTAAAGAAGTCCTACCTTCTACATTAGCATGGTTAACGTTAGCTCCAGCATTAACAATTTTTCTTACAATGTCCAAGTGTCCTTTTAGTGATGCATATATTAACGACGTAGAGCCACTCTTGTCAACTTTATTAACATTTGCTTTGAATTGTAGAAGAGCGTCTACCATTTCAATGTGTCCGTAATACGATGCTAATATTAAAGCAGTTTGACCATGAATGTTTTTGTCGTTCACTTGGAAAACTTTTTTAACATTTCTATTTCCATTTGTTTTTCCAGTAGGATTTTGAACTTTATTAGCTGACGCCATATCAATAAG